GGGATGAGGCAGGAAACAAGTGAAAAGGACGGAAATTTGCCTTAGGAAGTATTATCTCTTTCTCTAATGCAGGAGGTGTGATAGGAACAGGGTCTTAATCCCTGCTTTAAAATATTTTAAGTTGCCTTTGTTTTAGAGTAAACATGGGCATATGAGTAACTTCTACCTGCAGGGTGGCACAGGAGGGTCCCTCTGCCCCTCAGTGTTAGCTCCCCAGGCAGGAGAGGACTTGCTCAGATGTCAGGGTGATGCTCCGTGACTGCTGAGCACCATTTGGATGTCACTCCTCAGTGCCTAGCTACCAACGGGCTGTCACAGACTCTGCCGTTGGGAGCGGGTGGGGGGTTTGATCAACTTGTTTGCCAAAACTGGTCCCGGGTTTTTTTTCTGAATATCCTTCCCATCGTCATGGCTGTGTCTGTGAAGGAGAGAGGGGCAGGGTTTTTCACCTGTGCTGTCCAGTGATTATCACTGTTTGAAAAATCTGTTGATGTTTTGTTTTGTTTTCTTTGAGCAGATGGGCAGAAGAAGGTTCAAGAGGAATTTGACATAGACATGGACGCGCCAGAGACAGAGCGGGCGGCTGTGGCAATACAGTCCCAGTTCAGAAAATTCCAGAAGAAAAAAGCGGGGTCCCAGTCTTAGTAACTACCTCACAGCTTAAAAGAAAGTAATCCTGAAATGATTTATCAAGAAAATCAGAAATAACACAAAGATGCATGTACAGAAATTATCAATATTTAAAACCCCATTGGCAGATAACAAACCATGAGCTTGTGTGTGACTTCATCCCAGATGTTCCACGCCCATTATCCTCTGTAACTCACCATTTTACTTGATGTTGTAATAAAAAGTTAGGGTGAAGTAATTAAAGTGTCTGCCTTCATCTGTCTTTTCATATTAATCCAGCAACCACAGCGTTACAAATGAACCCAGCCCAGATGCCTGTTTTCCTCTTCATGTAAAGCCTGGAGACAATAACAGCACCGTATGTTACAAGGTTTTTGCTGAGGGATGAGAGCATGCATCTCAGCCCTCCTTACCTCATTCGGAGAACTCCAGCTGCCAGCTAAATGTGACAATAAAATTACTTTCTTGTAATGAGCTGAAAGTAAAAAGTTGCAGACAGAAGCTGGCATGAAAGGAAGAGGTGTAGGCAGCAGTGAGGAGTGTATTTTTGTCTTGCAATTATGCCAATAAAGTGGCTGAAGTGGGGGAAATTGTCCCTGTCCTTCCTCTTTGCATGATAACGTTCAGAATTACCCAGCTTGGATGACATTGACTGTT